GAGTGTCTGGGTTCATTTGCACAACTGTACTTCAGTGACAGGGCTCATGACTAAAACACGAGAGAGAGGAGTTGCACCCTGAAGGCACCTGTGTGTTGTAGCCATTGATATATTCAACAGAGCTGCAGTCAGTTTCACTGCAGATGTGGGCAGTGAAGTGAGATAAATCCTACCACTGAAACCTTCCTGCAGGCAGCTCCTGAAGAGCTGCTTGGAACAAAGGCCTTACTGCTCCTGGACAGATCACCTCCCAGGTAATGTCCCCAGGTATAGTGCAGACAGTGCACCCACATCAGTATGGCCCAACAGATCACAGAATCATTAAGGCTGGAAAAGACTTCTAAGATCATCGAATCCAGCCATTAACCTAACACTGTCAAGTCCACTATTAAACCATGTCCCTAAGCACATCTACATGTTTTTTTCAACACTTCCAGGGACAGTGATTCTGCCACTTTCCTGGTCAGCCTGGTCAATGCTTGTGTCAGATTGCGTGGTCAATCTTGTTTGAAAGAGCTGAAGGGCTGTAGGAGGGCTGTGTGTGACCCACAATGAAAATAAAGTCACTGTTACCATCTTTTGCCGGTCTTGCTTTCTTTATCCAGTCTGTCAGGTGTCTCACGAAGTCAAAGAAGAAATCTCCCTCAGGCACGCTGATGACCTGAGGGACACAGCACATGGTAACAAAGGCTGAGAATGTGAATAATAGAATAGAATCACAGAATATCCTGAGTTGGAAGGGTCCATAAGGAACATTGAAGTTCAATTCCTGGCCCTGCATAGGACAGACCCAAGAATCACACCATGTGCCCGAGAGTGTTGTCCAAACACTTCTTGAACTGTCAGGCTTCATGCTGTGATGACTTCTCTGGGGAGTCTGTTCCAGTGCCCAACCAGCCTCTGGGTGAAGAACCTCATACTAGTATCCAACCTACACCTCCCATGACAAAGCTTCACGCCATTCTCTCAGGTCCTATCACTGGGCACCAGAGAGAACAGATCAGTTGCCTGCTCCTCTGCTTCCCCTCATAAGGAAGCTGTAGACTGCTATAAGGTCTCCTCTCTGTCTCCTCCTCTCCAGGCTAAGCAAATCAAGTCCCATCCAGCTGCTCCTCATATGGTTTCCCATCTAGACTGTTCACCATCTTTTTAGCCCTCCTTTGTATGCTCTCTAACAGCTTTATGTTCTTATATTGTGGTGCACAAAGCAAGCGGCAAGATGCCACATGCAGGGTTGGCCATTGCCCCATGTATTTTGCCAGTTACACTGATGTGTTACAAACTGCTGATGTGAGACAGCCACTGCCAGCACCTTGCTTCAGGCTCTGTCTCTAATTTCACCCATTACTCCTTATTGCAGCTTTTTGTTTCACCAGAACAATTCCTTTCCCTTCCTGATGACTATCCCCATAGTTTCCTCCCAGTTGCCTGAGGCAGCTCTAAGCTGCACATTTTTCTTACTTAGAAAGAGAGCTTTGCCTGCCTGTGTTTCAAATCCTTTGGGGTGATTGCTGCAGGTTAGGACTGTGGGACTGCAAATGTCATCTGCATCGGGTTGGATCTTAGAAATGCCACACAGCTTGTAGGAAAATGCTTCTTGCCAGATAGCTCTGGCTCCACCAATGCATACCCACTGGCAGGTGGGTCACCCTGAGTATCTCAGGGCTACCTTGGCCTCTAGGTGGGTCACTCACCTTGTCAGAGATTTTGACGAAGAGGCTGAAGCCTTCAGAGGACTTTAGGAGCAGCCTGTTGGAGATGTTCTGGCAGAAGTCCTTGGCTTTTGTGCTGGACTCCACCTCAAATGCCTACAAAGAAAGGAAGATCCTCACCACTGCTATCTCAAGGTTAATTTCCACTTTATGCTCTCTTTGAGGAACTCCAGGTGCAGATGCACAGAAGAATTTAGATGCCCACCACCACTGAAATTAGTGACATTGTGGATTGTGGCTCTGGGCATGGGAAGGGATGTCAGCAGAACCGTCATGCTACTGCTGTGGCATTGTGCTTTGTGATGCTTTACCTATATCCTGTGCTGGCTTATCCAGGGCTACCCAGGCAATGCAAGAAATTCTTCTGACCTAATAGTGAAGTTTCAGAACTCTTTGTGGGGGAAGGGAAGTAGAAAAGAGAGAGTGAGATACCTCCAGGCTGATTTGTCCCAACTGTCTCACTACTAGCAATAAGAAGGTCAGTTGTCTGGCTTAGACAAAACGTCTGAGTTCAAGATAGCTGAATAGAGGGAAGATGATTTCCAGTTTATAGATAGATATCTACAGATGGGATATTAAATGACTGTCCCACCTGCATGCACATCCCAGTTTTGCCTTTTGAGCTGTGCTCAGCATTTACATTGCCTCAGTTTTGCTCTGCCCACTTAAAGAGATTCAGTTCATGGCAGTTTGAGGAATTTAAGCTTCTAACCATGAATGACTGCATTAGCCTGAGCCACCAAACCACCAGGACCCATATTCCACATCCCATGAGAGTCCAATTTGGAGTCCAGTGCAGTGGACTTCAGTGCAGATGCATCTACTGGAATGACCACCTGGTGACTTCCATGGCCAAACAGATCACATCAAACCCATCCAAGTGTGGTTGTCACACAAATGCATACATATAAAGCAGTGTCATGCTCATTGCTGATCTTGTAGAAAAAATACTCAAAAGTGTTGAGAAACTCCAGCAGTTCTCTCAACCCTTCATTACAGATAAATAAGAGCATGCACGGCTGCTGGAAAAGAATCCTCCTTTGCCTTCCATGGGTGTGCACTGCTTTACACATAAATCCATTTGGAAATACAGGAATTTAGCCATACATGAGGGTACGAGGGAAGAGACAGATGTGAGCCTCACAGGAAGGCTAATCAGTAGCATGAGTCAGCAGTACCTGCAAGGACACACCTATCTCCTCTGGCATCAATACAACTAGCTGCCTTATTAGCATGTAAGATACATAATAAGAGGTTCCTGACTGCAGGTATGATTTCTGTGTCATCTCAGGTCAGAAGGTATAATTTTGGTTACCTACTTGCCAGTGCTGTGATACTCTGCCCAGTTCCCAGGGAGCCCCAACATGCTACCCCCACTGGACATAGCTGGATGGACAATATCTGTTGGTCTAGGCTCCAAATAACTGATATCCAAGGCTTGTGAACAGTTGTGAGTGAATGGATGAACCTGCCCAGTTTTTTTTCTTTCTGGGGTTATATTATAAAGCCTCCAGTGAACACCACCACAGTACCTATGTCTTGAAATCCATTGATTTGAACAAATCAGAGCAGAAAAGGATGGGTTTTCTTTTTACTGCTGTGGCCCAGAGTCTTCTGAAAAGGCTGTTTTTCTAAATCAGAACCAGTATCAGCCACTTCTGAGATTTTAATTAGAAAATTGACAGCCATCCTGACAGAGAATAAGAATTTCCTTCTCCCCCATTTACCTCATCAGTGTCATCAGGGAAGTAAACCTTGTGGAAAATTTGGGTGGTTTTGTGTTGAATGGCTTCCACTTCTACCAGATGGGGTGGGTATTTCCTGGATCCATTCCTGTAAAACAGGTAGCGGCAAGTGCCACAGCATCATCAAAGCAAGAATCCTTGTTAAAATCTTCCATTTTAATACACATTCTTTTTGAGTAACTTCAGCTACTTAATATTACTGGTTTTTTCCTTCTAAAAAGAAGAAAGAGAATGGGGAATGTGTATTTGCTTAGGTTGTAGGCAACTTAAGTGGACCTGAACAAAGTTAATTAATCTGTATTTTTCCACACACACTTTATCAGCAACATACTCCACCCAATGTCCCTTTCAATCAGCTTGGTCAAAAATAAAGAGAGACTGTGAGCTTTCACTGTTCCCACAGTCACTAAAATATCTCCTAGTCGTATTTTCTCATATATATTTGGATGCTGTGGCACAGTCAAAACAAGGAGGTCTTTTGGTGCCATACCTCAGGGCTTTCTGAAGTCTCTGGATGCAGTCTGCTGCTAAGGGGTGATGTTTCCTGGATTGCAGGAACCTCTGGACATGGGGCAGGAGGATATTACTTGGAGGGAAAAGGCCTGTACATAACCACAACAGCTCCCAGCCTTTCTCTTCACTGTACCTACACAAGGAGAGACCCATGAGAAAAAAAAATCACTCATCTCACCAACAATTCAGATTTGCTTTGTCCAACACAGGCTAGTGCATTTGGGCCAAAGGGAACAAACAACTCTCACTTGATGTGGTTGTCTGTGAGCTGCTTGAGGGTCTGGCAGTAGATTTCATCCTTTAGGGGTTCAGCTTTCAAGGCACCTTCAAATATTTGGTCTGTCAGCTCATTGACTGAGCGGGTCCTTTTGGATGGGTAGTCACCCATATACTTCAGCACTGGTGGAAGACAGGAGTCAAGGATCACCTAACCTTGTTGTTTGGGGAAGTTCTTCTGTTGATGATGTGGCTGAATACATCCTACACAACTGCAGAAGGGGCTGCAATGGATGAAGGGAGCACAGTCTATGGTAAAGACTTTAAATTGCTTTAGATGTCCAGCAAGCTCTTTCTCCCTTTATCATGCATTATCTCACATTGAAAGGATCAGTTTGGGGTTGGAATATGTAGACATAAGAAAGTTGTGTGTGATCCTGTGTTGCCTGACCATGTATACAGGTACCACTGTGAAAGACCAGATTTTCAGCTAGTGTCAGATGCTAGTGGAGCTGCGGTAACACAAACCAAATCTTCACTGTCACGAATATTGCAACTATTCTGCATGAGAATAGACCACAGTTTAATCAATTGACATGTACGACACAGCAAGAGAAAAAGCATAAAAATGCAAATGTCCTCTTATTTTTTTACCAGTTCTTACAACTTCTCCTCCTGTTATTATTTATAATCATAGAATCATCAAGGTTGGAAGCAACCTTTAAGATCATGAAGTCCAACTGTTAACCTGGCACTCAGCTGTAACCCCTAAAGCCTAACTTCCAGCGCCAGATCCAGGCACCTCTTAAACACTTCTAGGGATGGTGACTCCACAACTTCCCTGGGCAACCTATTCCATGGTCTTACCATAATAACAGAATAACAACAGGAAACCAGTAGTAGCGCAATGGTGTAACATTAATCAGTAAGAGGCTTATACCAACAGAACTGTTCAAACCACGAAGTTTGAATCCTAGAGCCAAGTCCCACCCAAAAATAAAGGCTTCAACAGATTGGATCTATGGCTGCACTTAGCTCATCTCTCCCACACTGTGTACACTCTGCAAAATAAGGGATATTCAGGCATCAAACCCTGTCCTTGAGGCCATGTGGACTGGTCTGCATGCATATTGATTAGGAGTACAGCCTTCCACAGAAGATGCATTTTGGAGAGACACAGCTGCAGCAAGCCACAGCAGAGACAGTGAGTGTGGACCAACGGAACTCAGTAACTTGCTCCCTAGCCCTCATTTATTAAGAAGCAGACACACCTCCAATCTCAAGGATGTTTGAGCACAGATTTATGGCTCAGACTCATCTCCAAGCTTATGGCATGGTCTCAAAGCCCTTAAGAGGGACCATAAACCTTTCCATGGGGTCCTGAGGAGCCTGCTCAGCCCTCTGCCTGTCAGACCTGCTGCCCAAGGACTCTCCCAAGCAGTGAAAGGATATCAATGAAGGCCATGCATGCTTCTTGGGACAGCTCCTCGCTGCCCAGGATCTTCTTCAGCAGTGGTTGTTTGATGGGCTCACGGGTGTAACACCACAGCTTGTCCTTCCCACGGCTCTTGGTGATCATGACCCTGCTGAGGGTGTGCTTGGGAGGTGGCCTGATGGCAAATGCAAAGCAAGAGGCAGAGACATTACAAGGATAAAAGGGACATCTTGTGGGCAATGTTTTACCTGGGAAGGTTGCTCACAGCATCTGGCTAATGAACTCTTGCACCAAATGGGACTTCATAATTTACCAGTTCTGCCCAAAGATAACCATTTATTTGTACTTTCCTATGGCTCAGAAAAGTCCCTTAGGGATCCTACCCAAGTACTGACACCAAAACAACCTACCCTATCCCAAAATGTTTTTAACCACAAGAAGAATGGTGGCAGTGAATGGGCAGGGCAGCCACACTGAAAGCATGTAAGCTAGCAGTACAAGCCTATTGGGGGAAAACATCCCAGAGGATCTGGTCTGCCTATTTGGGTTGCCAGTACCATCCAAATAGGAGTGGGAGCTTTGGTCAGCTGCATTGAGCAGTGGTACACATTTAAATCTTTGGAGTGAGATGAAAATGCCTGCACCTAATTCAAATGCTGCCTATATGGTCTGAAGTTGTGTATGGAATCACAGGAAAGGAATAACAGACCACTAAGCACAGCCTCCCATATAATATTAGATTTCACACTGTTGCACCTCTGCTGAGAAGAAATCCTTCATAAAACCTTAACTGTGGAAAACCTACAGCTCACATGCCATGACCTAAACTGGAGGCTGCAGTTGTACAAAGTCACACAAGGGGATATTCAGAGACCTTCCTAGTAGCAAAATTTTCCTGATTCCTAAGCTGCCTGCAAATGGATTCTTATTCCTCTAATTTATGAGGATGGTTAAAAAAAAAATCACCTAAAATAATCATAGGAAAATTCCTCCAAGGTGTATGGCTTCACTCTCTCTTCACTGTCTGAAATTGCCATCTGAGAGGTTCTGATAACATCTTGTCGTTGATCAGGGGTCATTGTGACCAGTGCCTGTGGGATGAAAAGTTCTCTGTTACCCACAATATTTGATATAAAATATAAGTGATGTATTTAGAGAGAGGAAGTAGATACAAAATGCAAAGAACAGTGAGTGAGTAAGAGTAACCCATCAATTCCAGTTAACAGTCAGAAAGAACTGTGCAACTGTCATTTCTCTGTGTCATTTTCAGTCACTAATGCAAGGAACAAATGTTTCCATAGTGTGGATCCTAATGAAGACAACATGCTTTGGATTCTACAGCTCCATACATGAATGTAGCTGTTCCCTCCAACCCAAATACACCTTTAAGTAATCAGGTCAGCTGGAAGGATTTAGTACTATACATGGATAATCCAAGTCACAAGTCTGTGGTGTTATAAGTGCCAAGTTCAGAATAAAAGGCTGAGACCACTTTTGCCTTGGACAACTTGTCACCTCTCTCATCCGCTTCGGTTTCCACCTTATCTTCAAGGAGTCTCTGGCCAGACATAAAGCACTCCAGACAGGCTTTGACCTCCTTGGGTGTTGTACCATTCTGTAAGACAGCTTACCACAATCTCCAGTGGAGGCATGGTGACTGTAGGCAAGACGTAGACAGAATCAGTTGGAAAATCCCCTCTCTGCTTGGTCCGTTCATTGAACCCATTAGCCCACCCTGAGTTCATCACTTGTTCTCCTGTGTCCTGGTCCAGAACTATGAGGTCTCCTTTGAGGAAGCTTAGGAACCCAGATTCTTCTCCCACTGCAAGACAAACGACCATTAGTTTGAAATTTTTTCTCCCTGAACTCCTTGGGAATAATATATCTATATGCTTACCACGGAGATAGGCCATTTACTTACCAGGGTTTGGATTGTCTTGGAGAGTGACCACATACTTGGATCGTTTTCTTAGTCCTTCAAGGAAGGTCACCACCAGGTCCCGGATATCCTCCGCATTGTTGGAGGTGAAAGTGTATTCATCGCCTTTAATGGTGGCCAAGGTGAAACTCTGCCCTTGCAGCTTTCCTCCTCTGGGATATATTTTCATAGGAGACATAAACATGAAACATAATGACATCAAGAGGCAAAGCCTAGAAAAATGCCGACTTATGGTGAGATTACCAGCTAAGTCTGTTCCTCCTTACCTGCTGCTTGACACAGCCGTGATCTCTGGGAAAGATAGCTCTAAGAGAACCTGCTCCTGTTCATCCACAAAGTACACCCCTGTCCAGTTGACAGCTACAATCACATCATTTTTAGGCAGGCTTGGCCCTGGATTGAAGATAAGATATACAATCAGTTCATGAAGGGTCTTAACATACAGAAAATGTGTGCATTTCAAAGGAGGATGCAATGATCAAAAAACTCTGTCTTTTGTTAAGGAACAGAAATAGTGGCAGACTCACAGTCTGAGCCAATGCTAATCAGAATGCACCAAAAAAGAACATATCCAAAAAAGACCAGCTGGGTCATATCCTTCTTGTCTGCAGAATCCTTCATCTTGCTTTAGAGCATCCTGTGGTCTGAGGATGTGCTCTACAGACTCACCTGAGAATTTAAAGGCTTCGTAAAACCGAGAAAACAGCAAAGGCCACTTGAAACGTGCGAAATCCACTACCTCTTCCTTGACCTTTTTTGGGTCTGCCCTCTTCTGAGTATAAATTCCCTACAGAAAAAGCAAACCACAGTCAACATGAGGCAAAACCACAGTTATATTCAGGAAGAGAGCAAACAAAACCAATCTGTGTAACCTGAAGATCTTGGACTAATATTAAAGGACATCTCAATGTGGCTAAGGGCCAAAGTACTACAGGAACAAGTGAGAGTCTGGACAAATTCCTGTCCTTTGGTTCCCACTTCAGGGAATAATTTGACTTTGAGAAGGCTGAGCAAGCATCTAGCATGATCAGTCTGGGTCAGATTCATCTCAGCTGACTTTGAATTTCCCTAAGGTAGGTGTCTACGTTTTGGTGTGACGGTCCTTTAGCTGGAAATGAACACTCAACAGCTCTTAAGCATCTCATTCAGGGCATCCTTAGATACCTGACACTTCTGTATGAAGCTGAGAGGCCAATGGAGGATGTGCAAGATCCTACTGAATTGCAACCCTGGGTTGCCGTTGATAGTTACAGTGAGTTGAGTCTCCTACCACACATGGAGGTGTTTACATTTTAGGGATCTTAATCTGAAGCTAGCCCCTGCTGTTAAATGAATGCCCATTTTCATGCCTGGAACACCAATCCTCATGAGTGGTCATGAGTAATGGAAGGTGTCGTTGTGTGAAAGTGTCAAAAATATTCTAATTGAAATTGTGGAGGTTTTATACAATGCCTGGCACAATAACTTCCCAACAATTGCCTGGAGACATGAACTGCCACTGTAATACACCCGTTAACACCACAATCTCCTGTAACAGGAATGTCTTCCCAGAGAAGGCATTTTACTTCTCACAGTAAATGTCTGCAGGTTGTCCTTATCTGTCAGATCTTCCTGCCAAACCAGTGGTAAAGCTGAATATGGTTAGTACAAACCGTGCCCTTTCTCATTGATTTAGCTTCAGACCAGGTTAGGAGCTGAGATATGATGTCTGACATTTAAAAGGCACATTAAGCTACCGAAGCATGCTGCTGTCCTTGCCCCACCTTTTTATGTGCAGCTATAATGAGCTGAGCCCATTTTTCCACTGTTTTTGAAGCTGTGATCTCTCTGTCTGGGATGTAGGATGGAATTAGATTTAGCAGCCTTTCCAGTACCATCTCTGACCCATAGTCCACGTAGTACTGCTGGGAAGCCAGTTCTGCCAGATCTTCCTCCTGTGGGAGTCAAAGAAGCCAAGTTAATGCTGTTACCAGGTCGTCAGAACATACATCCCTCACCACTCAAGGAACTCTTCGTGGAGGCTGGATGTACTACAGAATAGTGCAAGGATTCTTTCTTTCAGCAGAACTTCACCAGCAGTTCTTGCACATCTAAAGTTCAGGAGATTGACCACTAAAAGCTATGATTAAGCCTTAACATGTTCAGTGACCAGCACCACACAACCCTGTACTGTGTGGGAACACGTTTGCCCCAGTCTGTCCTTGCAGATCAGTCTGTTTCTGATGCCTCCAGTCACCAGTGGGTGATTTTGATACAGTAGACAGAGCTTAATGATTGAAAACTGCAGGTGTCCATGACTTCCCACATTTGGGAAGCCCAGCAACTGAAGCACCTGTGCATAATGCAGAACCATAAAACGTCCTTTGGTGCAGCTACGTTCCAAGAACTTTGGGGTGAAACAATAGAGCTACTGAAATGATAATAGCCCAAGGAGACCAGGAGCAACAGAAGGTGGAGGAGAAAGGGTAGGACTTCTGACAGGATAAAAGAGCTGCAGTTAATGCAATATAGATGGGAAAAGATGATTTAGCTCCCAAGGTGACCGGACTCTACTGGACCACAGGAGAACAATCAGGTGCTGCAGAAGAGAGATTCCTTCAATTTTACACCTGGATGAATATAAACACAAGTGAGAAAAAAAAACCAAACCCAAAACAAACCATGATGGATATTTTCAGAGATTATGTTTCCTGAGATGCTAATTTCAGTGACACTGGAATAATTTTCTAAGCTCCTACAGACTCTAGAGCTGTAAGTTTCTGTTGCCAATGTCCCGTCAGTATATGGCAGCATTGCTGGGTTTGTATTGCATGGCAGAGGTCTGGGTAACATGAAAAGCATCTCTCATGTCTAAGACATGAGATGCACCAAACAGGGCTCTGCTCTGTACCTCTGATCTGGTGATCTGGTTACAGACTATTTGTGGCCCTCCAGGCTGAGGCTGAAGGATGAATTAGTTCACTCTCTCACTCAAAATTTACCAGGACAGAGTGCTCATGCAGAAAATGGAACATCCAAGCCCAGCCAAGAGAATCTCATTTCTGTAGCTACTGTTTTTCAAGTGAATACCAAAACCCCCAAGCTAATAGGGGTCCAAGGATGAAGAGTTATCATTTCCTTTGTTGAAACCTTTTTCATAATCTTGTTGGACCAGACCAGTAGCTACTGAGGTCACATACCTTGTCACACCGGTACTCCCCAAACTTCACTCCTCGCACAATCTGTTGGTAAATGAGATTGGTGGCCACATTGTCCTCATTTGGGTTGTGCCAAGGAGTGAATATCTCCTTCCTGAAGAAGAGTCTCCATGGAGCGTTGCGCTCCTGCGCTCCCTGCTCTTTGGCGTACTGCTCGCACTGAGACACAGCATCCATCACATGGTCATTGCCGCTCCCCAGCGAGGAGACCTAGTCAGGGCAGAGGGAAACGTGGCATTAACCTGACTAAATGCTGAAATTTCTAGGTAGAGATATTTATTTTTGAGTCACTCATTCAGACTTCCTTTATAATCAGAATAAATCAAAGTATCTCTACTAGCCAGCCAAGACTGAATAGCTCTACAGCATACCTGGGTGGTCCATTTCATTTTGATTTCCAATTTCCCATCCAGATTGGAAGGAGAGCAACAACATGAACTAGCAAAGACAATGGTCCCATTATAAAGCATTGTTGATTCATACTGTGCTTAGAAACACCCCGTTTCAAAGTCATGGGCTGGGATACAACCATGCTGAGCATCAGACAAAACCCAGAATAAAAAAGCCTGTTCTGTTACAGAAATTTATCATCTCTGTCTTCTCACGTTGTCTGGCATGAAGCCCTAAAGCTTCCCCTTGGACTTAAAATCCCTGGCTGAATGTCTCCTCAAAAAAGACGAAGAAGATGGAGTATAAACGATTTTCCTCTCCACCTGCAGGTAGAGGCGGACACATCTGAAGGTGAGAATATACTTCATCCTCTCACACAGCAGCTGCAGGAATACTTCAGTTTCATTGACTTACAGCTGTTGTCTCACCTGATGAAGTTTTACCCCAGGTTTGTTTTCCCTTCTCATTTATGTTTACCTATATTTGATGGAATTTTGGGAAAAGGCATGTTTTTAAGTTAAATAAATCCGGTTAAATGCCAAGGCAGGCATGGCAGTTTGGATTTTAGCTAGTTTTGGAAGCTTAATTTCAACCATTAGCTTTCCAATTAAATGCGGCAGCTCCCTTGCATGAAAATTCAGGTTGTTTGTTTTTCTGGAAATTCACCTCAAATAAGCTTGAGTGAGAGCAAGAGCATAGCATCACATAATTATGCAGGTGAAAAGGAATTTCTGTAGGTTTCTGGTCCAGCCCACTGGTCAGAGCAGGTCTATCTTTGAATAGGCTGCTCTGTGCATTTTCCTGTTAAATTCTGAACATCTCCAAGGATGATTTTCCTACAGCCCTGCTCCAGAGTTTGACTACTCTTATTGTGACAATCATGCTGACACTTGCACTGTAAAAATGTTCTCTCTGCCTTTTGGAAGTTACGTGACAGTGAGGACAACCTCCCTCTCTCACAGAGCTATTCAGGAACAGAAGATATACCTTGTCAAAAAGTGCAATGTATAGTGAAAAGCCAAATCGGTCCTTCAGGCTGATTTTGTCGGCCAAAGAATTACAGAGCTCTTTAGCAGTTGTCGCAGAGTCGGTCAACAGTGTTTTTGTCGTCCCATCCATAAACGTGACCGGCAGCATGATCGGTTTCTTGTCGCAGAGTCGGTCAACAGTGTTTTTGTTGTCCCATCCATAAACGTGACAGGCAGCATGATCGGTTTCTTAGACTTGGTCGCCTAGTGGATTGAAGTCAAACTTAATAAAGTTATGCACATTTCAATCCTATTTACCTACATACTCTTCCATCCCATCATTTACTAATTCCTTATTACAATGACTGTCTGCTTTTCAATACTACCCTAGCATATTTCGCAAGAGGATAATGTACGGTCAAACACTGGAAGCACTTGGAAGTACCAGATATTTAACACATTCAAAGTGCCTGACTCAGTAAATCCAAGCGTGGTGTGCCTGGGAATGGTGATGGACACTAGAGCACAGCTGTATATGCTAGCAAACCAGCACAGAAAAAGAGCAATTTTTTGCACAAACTGCCTGTTCCAGCTACGACTATCCCTGAACAAGTTCCAGGGACCATTCTCAGGAGGCAGTTTGCCTGCAGCCATCATCTGGAAGACAATTTCCTGGAATACATAAGGACTTGCTCCATGTCAGCTGGTTTCAAAGCCCAACAGCATTCTTAAGCACATTTAGCTTACAAGTATTGATGCAGCCAAAAGGACTGATCTTCAGCATATTCTGGAGCAAAGCCAGGATGCACAGGGAATGCAATATCTTGGAATAACCTGAAAATTCTTGACAGAAATAGTCACTTTGTCACATCACATTCTGTCCTGACAAAGATGTAGCTCTTGTGACAGTGAAGGGCTTAAAACCTGAGCCCCAGCTGCCAGGGGAGGGGACGGAGGGGTATGTACCTGCAGCTCTAGCCAGCTGGGTGGCTGTGTCCTTGTTCCATTGGCAAATGTCCGCCTCAGTCTCTCTTCACAATAGGGAGCATAACCTGGGGGGCCTCCGTTGATAAAATTCCTTAAATACTGTTGGCAGAAGGTAACACAGTGGTTAGACCTTTGGCTCTAGAGTCCAAGAATTTGCAAAGGTTAAAAAGTAATGTTTTATTGAAGAAAAGCCCTCTGGGACTAACAGCAGGGATAGCACTCAGGCTCAGATAATCCCATCACTGGAAGCTGAGAGAGAGTAGGACAGTCTGTATCCTGCTTTGTTCTTTGACCTTGCATTTCTGGCCTTGGAGGAGGTAAGACAGACTTTTGATTGAACCTAGTGCAGCAGCTTTCCTGTTCCTGCTATTGCTGCCACTGATTTCGATATCTGTATTTGAAAGATGTATTATAAAAAGTTATTGAGTGTTGGCCAAAAAGATGGGAGTGAATGAAAAAAGATGTGTAAGTAATGATCCAGGGGAATAGTAAGTGAATGCCACTCAGAACATTTAGCTGCCAGCACAAAAGATCTTTCACAGTGACATTAAACAGATATTTACTTAGTCAAATTTTAAATTACATTTTGGAAGATCCTAAACCAGAATTTGAAGCACTTCAGCATATGCTAAAAATACAACCACATTATTGTAGAGTAAATTAACTGCCGTAACTTCCACAAAATGAAATATCATAGAATCATAAAATCAACCAGGTTGGAAGAGACCTCAAAGATCATCGAGTCCAACCCTACCATCGTTACTAGACCATGGCACTAAGTGCCACATCCAGTCTCATCCTGAAAACATCCAGAGATGGTGAATCCACCACCTCTCTGGGCAGCCCATTCCAGTGCCTGATTACTCTCTCTGTAAAAAATCTCTTCCTAATATCCAACCTAAACCTCCCCTGGCAGAGCTTGAGTCTGTGCCCTCTTGTCCTACTTCTAGTTGCCTGGGAAAAGAGACCAATCCCCACCTGACTACAACCTCCTGTCAGGGAGTTGTAGAGCGTGATAAGGTCTCCCCTGAGCTGCCTCTTCTCCAGGCTAAACAATCCCAACTCCCTTAGCCTCTCCTCATAGCATGCACTTTAAAATATTAGATAAAATTATTGGCCAAAATGTTAGCTAAGACTAATAGTTTTGTAAATCAAACATTTCTGAGAGACTTTATAGATAGATAAAGGGTCTCTGGATGACAACATGCAGCTGTTCCTTCAGAAACACCGATTGCTTTATAACACTGTCAGCTATAAATAAGATAGATAAAGAGACAGACATTTCTGGCAATTGAAACTTATAGAGACACTCTGAAATATACAGGTAATACAGCCAGATTATGTGGATGAGACATGCTGCAAATGATTTTAAGCAGTTGATGCCACATAAAAGTGTAGTTTTAATTGTCCTGCTGTAAATAATGAACTATGCAGTTATATATTTTTCATGTTTCTACTTCCTTGTGACTGAACCCAAGCCCATTATTAGTTGAAAAAAAGGTGCAAAGAACAGGGGAGCTTATGTGTCTTGACCTGTGCTTAACTTATGATGCAATAAAGGTGTGTACTGAAATCCAAAGTATAACCTGCATATTTGGGAGCTGGAATACATATGAAGACTGCCTCATTATCAGCTGAATCCTTCTCAGAATGTTCAGTTCTAATTGATACTTTTAAATGACAGAATCATAGAGGGGAAGTGATGCCATCCAGAGGATCCTGGACATGCTTGAGAGCTGGGACTGTGCAAACCTCAAGAAGTTCAACATGGCCAAGTTCAAGGTCCTGCACTTGGGTTGGGGCAATCCCAAACACAAATACAGGCTGTCCGAAGAATGGATGGAGACTAGCCCTGGGGAGAAGGACCTGAGGGTGCTGATGGAAGAGAATCTCTAAATGACCCAGCAATGTGTGTTGACAGGCCAGAAAGCCAGCTGTGTTCGAGGCTGCATCACCAGCAGTGTGACCAGCAGGTCAAGGGAGGAGATTCTGCCCCTCTGCTCTGCTCTCATGAGACTCCACCTGGAGTACTGTGCCCAGCCCTGGGGTCCCCAAGACAAGAAAGAGGTAGACCTGCTGGAGAGAGACCAGAGGAGGTGAGAAAGATGCTCAGAGGGAGCACCTCTCCTATAGAGACAGGCCAAGAGAGTTGGGACTGTTCAGCCTAGAGAAGAGAAGGCTCCAGGGAGACCTTAGAGCACATTCCAGTACCTAGAGGAGTTGCAAGAGAGATGGAGAGGGACTTTTGACAATGGAGTGACGTGACAGGACAAATGGCAGCCCTTTAATCTGAAAGAGGGTAGGTTTAGATTGCATATAAGGAAGAAATATTTTCCTGTGAGGGTGATGAGACACTGGAACAGGTTGCTCAGAAAAGCTGTGGCTGCCCCATCCCCAACCCCTTCCCTGCAAATAGTCAAGGCCAGGTTGGATGGGGCTCTGAGCAACCTGGTCTAGTGGAAGGTGTCCCTGGCCATGGCAGGCAGTTGGAACTAGATGATCTTTAAGGTCACTTTCAATCCAAATCATTCTATGAATCTGTGATTCTGTGATTCTATTAGTCTATGCCTAAGTCTCAAGAACAACCCATAAACTATTTCTAAGATGTGTTTCACTCACAATATAATCTTTGGATATTACAGATTTAAACTCACACAGCTTCCTGTGCCATGCTTTCTCAGATCTCATTTCCACACATAATTTAATTTTCTGCCACTCTGCCACTGATTTATCTGCTGCATTAGATTACATATTGGCAAGGTCTGGGGATGAAAGAGGGATTTCTATTCTTGACTTCAGCTCTTCAAGTTCTGAAGACCCAGTACCTAACCTAATATCTATGGAAATTGATGGAACACCTTTATTTCCAGTCAGGCACTGGAACAAACTGCTCAGGGAAGTGGTGGAATCACCATCCCTGAAAATGTTAAAAAAATATGCAGATGTAGCACTTGTGGACATGGTTAATGGTGAGCCTGGCATTGCTGAGTTAATGGTTGGACTTCATCATCTTAGAGATCTTTTCCAACCTAAATGATTCTATGACTCTATGACTAATTTGGAAAGTAGACTGTTCAAATCTAAGCAACAGAACTTTTCCCAGAAAAAAGGGAAAAAAATCATTAACAACCTGATTTTCAAAAGCATCAGCTACTTAACATCTCCACTGACTTCAGTCCTGCTGATCCACAGTGCTTCTGAAGATGGATTACATGTCATCTTTCATGTGGCTGTTTAGAAGTGGACTTTTTCAATATGACATATGGTGGAGCACGTTGTATCATGCGGAGAGTACATATGCAAAAGTACTACCAGGTAAATGAAATCCTTCTCTTTCTATGTGCAACTTTTTAATATTAATTTATACTTATAATTAGTTATGTACTTCTATTCCTTGGCAATTTTGTTAGAGTACATGCCTGAGGTCATACTGTCAAAGCCCATAGATGCTTGAATAAATGCACAGACCTTTGCATATGAGAAACAGGGGAGAAATGCGGGCTATTCTAGTTGTGCAAATTCTACCTGCAACCTCTCACAATCAACTTTCTGGACAGAAGTCACTTAATCACATCTTCACACATGTGCAGTTCAGGAAGTATCATCTAAACTGGTTGTCTACATTCCCTCTAGAGTCACAGGAAAGAGAGGGTCACTTCTCAGGAGTGACTCATCTGATTCACATTAGACATTAAACTTGGGATCATGTACTCTTTTCTCAGGAACTTAACGTCATCTCTATTTCTGGCAAAGATAGAGACCAGGATTCCCTCTACTGTGAAACCCAAGAGAAAACTGGTTCCATGTGTGGAAAAGAAAATGTATTGGTAGACAATTCATGAGGCAAACGTCATCTACAATTTACCTTCACAAACTTCTCAGAAGGAGCAAAACATCCCACGCAGAGGGACATCAGGATCCAACCCCTGGCATGGCTGCTTTTGGATGGGTTCTGGGTCAGCTGCTTACAGATTTGACAATAGATTTCATCCCTGCAATAGGAACGAAAAAAAACCACATTAAAGAGGTGGTGGTTTTCAACACTGAAGCAGAGAGAGAGAGAGACAGACCCTGTCTGAATGTGATTGACAGTTAAAAGTTCATTTTAGCATCTCAAGGTTCTGAATTTAAGTGCCCTAATGATGGTCACCCTGATCGCTGCAGAATCCCTAAAATGCCATCCATCACTAGTTGCTTAATATTCTCTGAGTCTTCAGAGTACTTCAGCTGAGATTCCCACAGCTGACTAACACTGGAGAAGGACGGAAATAAAAGGGAATCTCAAGGTTCAGGGCAGCTCAATATCACCCCTGGATGATGGAGTCAATGCTGGCTTCTTACAGTAATGTCAAGACAGTCACCTAAAATAACTCTCATATGGGGCTATCAGCTGGGAGTCTTCATTTGCTGGCTGTTCTTCCTGAGATACCTGAATTTGCTTTGTGGAAGTGTTGGGAACTATCAGCTCCAGTGGAGATCAAGGTTAGTCCAGCTTTTATGTCCAAGCAGGCACATACACTGACAGGTATCTCAGTTTGGGATTTACTGTCCACTTTTGATTTTATCTTAATTCTCTACATGCAAAACGTGTGATAACAGTACTTCCTCATCTACATGGGAGGCCTCAAGTATGTTAGGCAACCTATTACACTAACAAAACCCATGGGAAAGCCCATGGGACACTACCAGATCTGCCTGCAAAGCCAACTTTGTGCAGAAAAGTAATGCTAAGGGCCTTATGGTGAACTGGGGGGGTAAAACTAAACTGAGAGGAAGTGATCATCAGATGAAGATGCTCACCCTGCTCCTGGAGTAAGCAGACAAGTGTGAGAGAAAAGAGTGAGACTACATAGACAAAGACTGTATTACAATACACACACACACACAGATGGGCTAAACCAAAGATGTGCAGTTGGCCTTAATTTGGCACTTTCCAATTTTTGAATGCTTAATTCAGCACTCAAAATGAGTTTGAGTTTTTTCATTAGTGCACCATTAAAATTATTCACACAAACAAAAGAGATCTAATGGTCAAATGGAAAACGAGAGTAGTGAGGAACAAGAATGAGTATTAAAAAAACAATCTAGTAGCCACTAGCACTTTCAGAAGTGTTTGAACCCCTCTGTGTGGTCTTTCCATTGGGCCTGATACGGACAGCAAGGAACATGATCCAGCCCAGCCTGCATTATACAATACAAAATTGTTTGAATAGCTCAAGAAAAGCTAAAAGAAGAAAGAATGAAAAGAATGGCATGTTCATGCCTTTGTCTTTATTTCTAACCTTAAGGCTGGCCTGAGGATGCCATTACCAATAATGAAATGGAGCTTCTCCAGGTTGGAGGTGGGTCGGTCTTCGAGCATGCTATTACCCTGGAGTGTAGACTCACCATCGTGAAGTCTCTTTGTCACCTGCCAACCAGACACATTGCTCTCTTTCAGTATAGCCAGTTACTATGACTCCCCCCCACCCCCATCCCAAGTGTGTGGTGCCCCCCCAGGAAGACTCTTCCACCAGCCAGGAGGGGTCTCAGAAGTTCTTCAATCTAGGACTGTCACAGCAATGGGAGGGGTTGACTGTGTTTGCTTTAATCATGTATGGGTAAAGTTAAAAATGGCTCTGTCTAGTCACACTTTCACCTGCTTGGTCTTTTCCCAGTGTTTCTACACTGGCACCCATGCATCCCAGCTCTGAGCTGGTCCTGTAGCTGGGAGAGGGCCACCAAAGATCTTTGGAATAAACACATCTTATTGCCAAGGAGGACCTGTTCCTTTAACTTCGTCATACTAAAATATTAATTAAAACACTAACAAAATGGACCCACTCCCCATGCTAATGATGCAGCTGAAAATGCATAAGCATGGTGCTGTTTGTGAAAACAGGGATGGCTACCAGCTCTCTGTCTCACCTAGTCAATCCAGTCTCCATTTAGAGCCACAGGAGAAAGACAGACATTTCTAGAATGTCTTCAGAGCCACATTAGGATAAGCTGGATTGGGTCTGATTTCTCCCCATGGACCATAAAGGGAAGGAGGGTGACTATCTGAGGGAGCAATCTTCATACTCTCAAGCAGGTATAGCCAGATGAGATGGTGCCAGCTCTGGAAATGGGCACTGTTTTCATCCCCCCAGCCTAAAATCTTTGTTGTTCCACATTCTTTTGAGAAGGGATTTTTCAAAAGCTCTCAGCTTGGTAACTGCTCCCATGAGGAGTTTTGTTCCTGGCACTGGAGTGGAACACAGCTGGAGACCCCAACTCTGCTACCTAAACCACAGTGGAGGGCAGGAAGCTAAAGGCAGGGATAACACTCAGACCATCACAGAGTGGTGAGAGGTATCGGCAGCTGGATGGAGGACTGTGAAAAAGGGCAGGGAAGGTGCTGGATGGATGGAGGACGGGAGCCGAGGGGAGGCCGGCGCAAGGTGCAGAATGACTCAAGGAGACACGGGAAGCCAACCTTTCCCCTTAAACACTCCTTAAGTCTTTCAGGCAGAGAGACAGGTAGCGCCAAACCCAGAGGAGGGCTGGTTCTATGTTGTCTAGGGAAAAGCAGAAGAGAGTCAGAGAGGGCTGCAGACAATCCAACGGCACTTGTGCTGCCAGGCGGCCAAGCGTCTCCTCTCACCTCCTCCGTCAGTTTGGATTTCTTCTTGAGTGTTAAGGAGACCAGTTTGTGCCGCACACTGTTCTTCTTGTGCCCATCAATATTAGTACTCTGCAAAGCAAGAAGGATGGATGAAATGTAGTGAGACAGAGAACCTTGCCAAGTGCTCTCCCTGCTTCCCCTGGGCTCCTGAAAAATACCACTAATCCTGGGCAGAGAGTAAGATATTTCAGAGGCTGGTGGGAACCACAAGTATGAATCCATATTCCCATGCCCCTTGATAATCCAAGTCTGGTTTTGAATTTTGTAGATACACTCTAACCAGTAAGTGTCCCTCAGATCAAAATTATATATTGGGAACATCTGAAAAATGTTATGTTGAATACATGGCTGAGTCCTTGTTAAGCCAAGTCCACCCAGTTCTGCCATATGACAGTGCAAATATGATGAGCAAGACCATGCTCTGAGACAAGCCATCTGTACAGCAGGTTTGTAGCTGGAAGCCATCTAGCCAGGGATTCATGGATGGGTGGTTACCCACAGTGGTTTCATAACTTTTAACCAGTTCTATGCTCTATTGGATTTATCAGAAGAATAAATTTGGTGTGGGACAGCCCAAGGCACTGACTACATATCAAGTTACTGCTGGCTTTCTACTTTCATACCAGACTTTTTGACCCAGTTAATCTCTCCCCATTTAAACACCTTTGAAAAGGCTGTGATAGGTCTTTTCAGCACTTTGAGTCCTGCAGCTGTGATGGTTTATATGTTCATATCCATTATAAAGACAAATTGATACTGTAAACCTGGATTTACATACAATTTTGCTCAGGATCACCTCAGGCATCTTTGTACTCTGCAGAGAAGATGCAACCACAAAGAAAAAGAATAGCTTAAATTTTCCTTCTCTTCTGTACTACCTGATGTCTCAATTGGCCAAAATATACCTTTTGAAATAAACAAGCAAGACATGATGGGTAGAAGGAACGAAAGGAGATTCTTGGTACATATTTTTACACCACTACAATCCAGATGAAACTACTCAAGTTATTCACTGAAGTGCTGAATGGCATCATAGTTTCTAAAAACTAGACTTGTTAATTTACCTCTGCAAATGCTGTAGGGGCTTGCCAAGAAAACCTCTTGAAAATTAAACAGTGACATTCAGAAGATGCCAATAGTAGATAATAATTTGCCCCATTGAATACAGCAATTGCCAAAGATGAAAGCATATCAGCACTATGGACATTGATTTATCCAGAACAATCTTATCAGGGAAGGATACAAAGATTAAGTCCTCCAGTGACATCCCTGAATACACTGAGAATGCAATAGCGACATTTTTTTTTATTTTCACAGCTTAATTTCCTAGTAACTCATTACTTCCTGCTCCAAGATTAAGGGCACATTTTTAGTTTAGTCTCTTCTGACTCAGGGCAGATCAAAGACAAATCTGTAAATGAGAAGCTGATGACAGAACGTTGCATTCCCCCTATGCACTTTAGCCCTGTGGGGTGGAGGAGAGAGATCAAAGCCCCATGAGAGATATCAGGGCACTTCCTTCACTGTATTGCTGGGGGACATTCGGTGATCCCTATGAAGAAGGGACAGGATCAACACCTGACACACAGGCAATTCTCCCTTCACAGCATTAGTGCAAATAAAATTGACAAACTGATTGCCTGCAGCAAATCCCACAAATTGTTTCTTTCCAACCCATTTCAATATCCAACACCTAATAACAGCTTCCCTCTGCAGCTGCACCAGTTACCTCTCCTTCTCCCTGCAGAGCCTGCAGTTCTTTCTTATAGGTCTTCTTCCCAAGAGTCTCATAGATTTTTGTCATCACTGGTATCTTCTCCCCACCATCACTCATGGCTGTGTGATACTTCGGCTCAGGGAGGTCTCCCATGAAACGGAGGATAGTGATCCACACAGCGAGTGCTGCCTATTTGAAAGGAAAGTTACACTCCATCAGTTCACACCAGGGCAGTGGATGGGGTGGTCAAGCCATGCTGAATCCATCAAGATCACCACTGTGGTCTCTCTGTACATCTGAGGAGATAAAACACTTCCCTGTGCCACAGGCAGCAGCTTTACCTGCAGCATACATCCCCTCTGAGCATGCCAGGCAGGCTGGTGGCTGGGACCACACATTCAGGCTCTGTGTTTGTGTCATCATAAGTGTGTTTGTGCACTCTACAAGGGGTTTGCTTCTTGGTAGGAGATCCAACCTTATCAAGGGACAGTGACTGGCAGCTCCTAACTCACTGCAGAGGGGAAGGAGAACCACAGCAAAGGCAAGTTCGTGGCCAATGTAATGTGCATTATAGCCATGCAGGTTCAATCGATTTCTGCTCTTGTACTGCTGGCTATGGGAGAAGCATTTCTGTACTTCCAGCTCTGCACTGGTGCATATGACAAGGTAAGAAGCAACTTTTCCAGTCCCTAGAAGTTTAACATACGGTACTCACAGAACAATTTTCATCTCCCATGCCCTGAGTCCAGAGCACTTCATTAATTGTCTTAACACAAATATCAAGGTACAGAGATGGAATGACCCCTCCAATGCTACATCCTTCTAATGCTCATTTTCTTGCCAGCACTCCAAGCATGCGACTACTGACACACGTGCAGCAGATAAGTGTATCCCAAAGGGAAACTGCTGGTGCCCTTTGGCTGAAGGGTTCCCCAGGCTTTCTCCAACCCACCCAGCCCTGCTCAAGGTTTTTCATCCCCTGCCTCACCAACTGGTCTCCTTCATCTTCATGGTACAAGAGAGGCTGCTTGAGAGGCCGGCGGATGTACGTGTGTGTGGTCGTGCCCTGGAAATATGTGGCAGCAAACTTGGCAAATTTGTACTCTGAGAGATCTTCCTCCTCTTCCTCAGGGAGAGGCAATGCTGCATCCAGGTCCTCTTCCTCCAGCTCCTTCTGGACTTGCTCAAGATCCTGTTGGGGAAGGACATGTCAGACACTCAGCATGGCTTTGGATATTGAACTACCCTTTCCCTTCAGGCCTGACTTTTCTGTCAGTCTGATTTTCACCCCAAAATGAGAAGTCAGCAGGAGTGAAAACATGGAATATAGCTCTGGAGCCATGCAAAGTCCAACCTCTGAAGCACATGCCTGTGCCCAGGAATGTCCCCAGAGACATAGGAGAAGCAATAAGTACAGCCCCACTTATAGTATTGGGAAATGGTGTCCAAGAACTAAATGCTGTGAGCTGTGATGAACCACAAAGGGAGAGATCTCAAAGGTCACAGGTTCTCAATGATCTTATAGTGATACTATTCTCCTTTATTCAGTAGCCCCAGAGAAAGCTGGCAGGCTGCCTGCCCATTCCCAGCCACAACACTGTGGTAACCCTCTGGGACCACACAGAAGAGCCTGGCCTTGGCTTTCAGAGACCCGCTTTTGTAATTCTGCACTCTTCCCTGATTCATTAATGTTTTGCTAAAGCTTTCCATGTGATAGCCAGGCTCATGCATGTCTCTAGTACCTCAAAGCCATTGGGTGCCTGTCCTTCCTGGCCAGGCAGGGAGGATGTTGTCCCCAGGAATCCAAACATCTTGTCCACCATTTCTGAGTCATTCACTGGCTCGTTACGAGCTTTCTCCATTTTTTCTAAGAGCTCTTTCTTCCGACGTGCTTCCTCCTTCTCTTTTACTTCTCTCTCTGCATCTTCCCGTGCCAGCTGGGCCAGGCGAACCTGCAAAAGGACAACTGCAATGACCGAACTGCTCCTTCCAAACAGTTAGCACTAAGTTCTGCAGGGCCTGGCTACAGAAAGGCAGACTGCCCAGGGCTTGGGGCACTAAACCAGCACCATGACTTGGAGCAAATCAGTGGCATGTCCATGTCTCAGTTTCTTAACTGCTGAAGGCCAAAGATAAAGCATTATCCTCTTCCTTAGTGCCTGTTTATGGGTGTTGGTCCATGCACAGAAACTCTAACTGACCTTATTTTTTTCTTTTACACAACAATCCTGCATGTGCACACACACACAGAGTGCCCCAGTTCCCCCTTCAGCCTTTATACAATAGCAAAAGCAAGTGAATAATAACTATAATCTCTGACATTTCTGTGCAGCAGATCAGAAGTTCTGGAGCAGCTTCAAACTAGTTAGATCACAGAGTAGTTTAGAGAATTAAAAACAAACTGCACAAAATGGGGCAGAAATCCTTTAGATATTTTTGCCCCTCAAAGAAGCGATACCAGTCCCTGGAAAACAGACAGAACCCCACAAAGAGATCAGTCCCCATGTACTTGGTGTTTCTTTTCTGCTTCCTCTTTGGCTTTCTTGGCACTCATCTCCTTTCGGAATCGTTCCTCTTCTGCCAGCCGAAGTTTCTCTGCTTCCAGGCGTCGATGATACTGTGGGAATAAATAGAAGAGCCCTTCTTAACAAGCATTGATTTATTTGGGGGTTTTGTTACTTTACTCTTTAAAAACAGATCACAAGAGCATGTGATGTGGAAGCACATTTTTCTCCCCTCTCCCCACCTCTGTTTCTCACAACTGATCTCTTCTCCGTGGTACTTACTTCCCCCCGGAGGCGCTTATACAGCCTTCGGGCAATCATGCCCCGGGCATAGGCCTGGACAGTGAGGACAGCCCAGAGGCGGTGGCGGTCCCGGGTAGCCACGGCATCGGGCCTGAAACTCGATGATCCGCCGGCGAGCCATGTGGTACTGCTTATGGAGCTTGCGGGATCGGTACAGGGCCTGCAGTCTCAGGAAGCCAATCCGCATCTGCAAGAGGGAGCAGGATGAAACTATCCCACCACCCAGGGGCTCACTCACCACAAGCAGATTTCCTTCACTAATCTCCTTCTTGCATGGCTGTAAACAAGAGCCACTGAAATCAGTCCCCAGGAGGAAAACCTTCAGGAGGGAGGTTCTCCAAGAAGGTGGAGAAATGAAGCCCTCCAGCAGCTGCATTGATTCAAAGTCCAGGAAGGACAAAGGTGGTTTCCTCCCCACTGAGTCCTACAGAGTTTGTGCCCTTGAGAGGCCTCAGAACATCTGGTTTGCCATCCCAAGGTAGTCACAAACCATGAAGGTTGCTACCATGGAGGCTGAGAATGTGCAGACCTGCCTGACAGTCAAGGTGCTGTTTCACAGCAGGAAGCAGCATCCTGACCAGCCTTGAAGTGGCTATTCCTATCATGTTGCAGGCTTGAAAGATGATATTCAGACACTTTAGACCCCAACACACTTCCCAAATGACTTGCTGTCAGGTCAGAGCCAGCTGGGACAGGGAGCACCCCAAATATGGTACCACCTTGAGATGGAGTCTGTTTTGCAGAGGAAGCTGCTCTTCAGTTTTCAGCCATCTGGAAACTAGGGGAAGACTTTTGAAATACCAAGTGACCAGTTGGTGCAAGGACATCTAACTCATGGGGAAAAGAACAGCTAGAAGGTGACCAGGTAGTCTCTTCAATGAGTAGGCAAAGCAGTAAGAGTAAACCTCCATTTATCACTCCAACTGATAAAAGCCAACCTCACCACCTACTACATTCAACAGGATATTTTGAGCTGGGAAACTCTTACATATGTCCTTGATGAAAAAGATAGGATGGCAGAGGTGTGAGGAACCACCCCAGTACTTACAGCACCATACTTCTTCCTGCAGTTATGTCCACGCCAGTATCTCTGAATCATCAGGACTGAATTTCTCACTTTCAGGAAATTGGACCTGCAAAAGCATTTCAGTCACTTGCCTCTGTGATTTGGCTGCAAGTTATCATCTCCTGGGTCTCATTTCTTGGAGATTTGAACCTGAGCATCCCAGTGGAGTAAACACCACAGTTTTGGCCAGAAAAAAATCTTTCCCAGCTCTCCTTGTTTTAATAAAAAGATCTGTAGGGGCTCTCTCTGATTGGTCTCTGCAGACAGATTCTTTCAGGTTATGGAAATAGGAAGAGCAGGAGATGTTAGGAATGATCCCCTCCTTCCCCCAGTCCTGCATCCTTCTCTCATATCTGAAATCTCTGTAGACACCTAGTTGTGTTGGAAGGGTTTGGGGGGTCATGACAGTAATAGTATGGGAAAGATTGATAAGTTATTTAGCATGTGGCCTTTCTGCAAAACCTAAGGCACAACCTAAGTCACAGCCATGGGTTGGACAGCTAAAGAGCACAAAGATCCAAGAACTGTCCCTCCTCCATGGGTGAAGCTTGCTCTTGGCTGTGGCTCCCCCTCTTCTTCCACAACAGTGCTGTGAGCTGCCCATGGGCTACCTGTCCTCCTCCCATCTCTGGTAACTGCACCGCAAAGTGAAGAGTCCTGAATCCCCTGGGCTCTGGGGAGAGCAACTTTAGCCACAGTGGATAACCCACAGTGATGACCCACTGCAGTCTTGTGGGGACCTCCATAGACTGGAGTTTTAGTGCTGCCTTCAGCAGCCTCAGAGTCTCACTGCTGCACTGTAATAGCAAACACCAGATCCCCCGAAGACAGCACTGAACAGGGATAGAAGGTCCTATTCTGTCCACGTTTGAGGCAGATAACAGTTTTCCTCATTTCCTCTACTGTTTTCCTCCAATAGTTGCTGCACCTGGCACAACAGGGGTCCCCTCTGGTCATCTGTGCACCAAAGGAGTGACGCAGCCTCCAGGAGCCACTTGCTGGGTGAAGCATCCCACATAGCCCATCTCCCATTTGGCAGTGGGGCTCACACCTACCTGTCTTTATACCCACGGACCACCTTCTGGATGAGGATGACTTTGTCCGTGATGGCCTTGTCTCGCTCGATCTCCAGCAGCATGTCATGGTGGTCCTGTGGAAGGAAGCAACACAGCACCCATGTCTTAAGCATGACACATGGTGGGAGGGGGTGGTATGAGGCCCTTCTCTAGGGGAGATGGTCAGAATAAACTCTTGGGTCATTTTGCATCCCAAGTTCACCCCACCTACTCACTGGGGCAATCATAACATAAACCCTAGTGATCTACTGTCTTAATTCCCAAAAGAACCAGAGCATCCAGAAGCTGCAAATGTATGAAAACAACCAAATTACATTGCCCTTCCGTTCAGAGCTCCCTCCTAGTGCTCTCAGCCATGAGAGCAGTTCCTAGGAGCACTGGAGAGGTTTGGGAAACTCCAGACTGCCTGCATCCCATTGCTTCTTCTAGCCAAGACTGCAACCCCTCTCTACCCTATGGACAAAACAGCTCCTTGAAGCACTAAATTTTCTTTGCCCTGAGGCTTTCAGATGCACTAGTCCAAGCTTTATTCTGATTCCTCCCAGGTCATGTGTAACTCTGCTTTGCAGTGGGTGCAGCAGAGACAGTTCCACATGCTTCCTGCTTTGCTTGACCTCATGTGGCCCCTCATGGCCTCCCAATTTCTGTTTCCTGCCCTGACAGCTGTGAGATTCTGATAACAGAAAGAGCAACTCTGGAAAGAGCAACTAGTGTGAACAGCTTCTAGGGAAGAGATGGGGCTGTTTGTGATGGCAATGTGGTTGGGGTGAATTTAAGTATAAGCAGTCAGGGTTTATTGCTGAGATTTTTGCTCAGCAGAAGGCTGATCTTCCCAGAACAGCACAGGAATTCATTTGTAAGGAAAGACGATTGTGAATAGGGATGCAAGGGACTCGCAGTGTAGGACTGCTCTGTGTCACCTGGACTGGTGCAGAAAAGGAGATTGTAGGCACATCTCGGGTTGCACAAGGATGTACAGAAAGCAAAGCAATCCTGTTGTGCTTGTGTCCCTCTCTCTGCAGGGCTCTGCATGGGCACCCCTCCTACTGCTGTGCTGTATGGGTGAAGGCAGGAGATAAGGTCGAGCGGTGCAGCCCAGGTGGGAAAAGGCTGTGCATTGTAAGTGACTACTTTTGTGTCCATATGGATTTGTGAACGTATAAGTGCTGGCATAGTGTCAGGACTTCCTCCTGCCTGCTGCTCCTTAACTGGCCCCAAACAATTTGCCTTAACCCAGATTCTACCCACTGACATGCCAACCCAGAGACTACGGAAAAGGATAACATCTTGTCATGGAAAATAAATGGTAGGAGACTCTTCAGAGGCAAGGATCCAAGATGGCAGGGGGGATGCGAAGAACTACCCACCTTCAGGAATATCTTTGTTTTGCCAATCTGCCAGTCATCATCCTTCCCAAGCACTGCTTCAGCAATGCGCTGGCATGTCCCACGCAGGTCGCCCTGGAAGAAAATGGGTTGGGATTCACTAGGACCAGGCTCACCTAACTCTCCTCCCAAGCTCAGTATGGGTGTTTTCTGGTCCCAAATCCTGCAGCTTTCTGCTAGCAAGATTCCCACAGCTTTAGCGTCACCACATTAAAGATAAGTGAGAGGGACAGGCTGAATATGGCAAGCTGTTCCTGCCAGCCCTGCAATCATTTTTCCTTCACTTGGAAAACCCAGAGCACCACTGCAACATCTGGGGATCAAATGTTACATAACTGTTTTTGGAGAGGATGCACACCCCATAAATATCTCTGGAGAGTTCAGCAGAGAGAAATCATTACTTGTGGAAGAGGACTCTCACCTGCTTGTATGCTGGCTTCACCCCAGGCATGAGCACTCGGTAACGGTCCACAAACTCCACAAAGGTGTAGCGGATGGGGTATCCAGCTCGGCGGATGCGGATTGTCTCCATCATCCCAGAGTACCTCAGCTGACGGACACACAGCTCCCGATCAAACAGCTGGGGAAGGTACAGGACACAGGGGTTTGATGGCAAATCTTGGCCTGGATTGGCCATAAGAGAGCAGGGACTCTGAAGTCAAGCATCCACCCAAATCCTTCTCTTGGTAGACCCAAGTCCATAGGACTGTTGGCTGTCATGGACCTGATCCTGTGGACTGCTGAGCACGATTCACTCCATTTCTTTAATTCCCTTTTGCGAGAATGGATGTGTCCTACACAAAGGACTGAGAGGGGAACTGGAGAGCACAATACAACAGTGAGTATCACATTGGGAAAATGGGCAGTGATGCAAAATAAAGGCAGACATGGTGTGGTGCTGCCACACTACAGGAAGTTGGGAACAGTAAATCCCAGCCAGGGCCAAAGAGTTACTGTCAGGGTCTTATTCACCTGCTCTCCCTTCAGCTGTCTAAGATGTGAGCATCTGTGCATGTACAGATATGAGAATACAAATTGTGAGTCCCCCAGGCTCTCCCTGAAGTGAGTGAGGAGAAGTAAGTATATATCTCAGATATCTATCCCTGTATCTCAGCTCTATCTCCTGGGACAGGAGGATCTGCCCTAGGGATGCACCCATCTCTCAATCCCTGGAGGGAGCTTTTTGACAACCACAGAGCAGCTACTTAACCATGAGAGGACAGGAGTGAAGTGAAACAGATCCTGATCCCAGAAGAAGACAGTGGATGAGCAAAGGAAAGGCAGAGAGTAGTACCATACAGTTTTGATCTCAAGCTGTCCCTATCTAAAGTGGGTATTAGGGACAAGAAAGGTGCTGAAGAAAGAGGTGTGTGTTGTGTTCCTTTGTCTCCCCTGCCATGAAGTAGAATGTGAGCAATTGTGGACTTGCAAATAACCATCCAGAGTTTGTAGGACTAGTTCATCATATGTATGGGCAAGTATGCACTTCTGGCATAAGGGCCTGATGAGCACATAGTGCTGGAGACAGTTTTGACTTTCTTTTTATTGTTTGTTATCTAATTAATCCCACACATTTCTCTTGGACTCAGAATACTCAGAAGCAGTGGCATGGGATGATGTACAGACCCAGAGAACTCCAGCCAGCATCCCAATACAAACATTTTTTTTGCCCTAAAGCACATTTTAGAAGGAAGTAAAAGTTTGAAAAGAACATAAAGTAACAAACAGTTAGGACTTTCCACTGACCTTTCACTTCCGCTATCCCATTTCCTATCACTATCAGTATGTTTTCCTTCAAAGGCAGGGACAGAAAATGATCTCCCAGAAAATGTTCTCTTTTGCAGTCACTCTGCACAGCTCTGTGTACCATTATTTGGGATTTCTTTTCCTTTGGATAATTAAACCAAGGCCAGAAATAAATTTAGCAAGAAATCACTTTCATATCACATTGCAGTCTCTGATTCAGTGTTAGCTCAACCACACACTTCTTTAATGGGGAGATTAATTTCTCTTTGTCCAATTCTTTCAAAGTTGTAGCTGTTTTTATGTTCCACTGAAAGTTTTGTAGACACTTCTACCTTGAAAAGAAACTTCTGGTTTTGCACATGCAAGAGCTGATGAAATACAGACTTCCTATGCAGGACACAAAATACCAGACTGAATTCCAGACATCCAGGTGTAAAAACAGCTCAAAGTCAGAGGATTAGGAATAACTTGTTAACATCAGTTTAGGACGTACATCTATTTCTCAACACCAGCCATGCACATAAAGAAGGTCTTGTTTTGATCTCTGCTCAGATGATAATCTCAGATCAGACATATTGTTAAATATTTACCCAAAGTATTCCATTAACATGCTATTAGGTACCTTTCTACACTAATCAAAACTAGGATAAGAGCACAGTAAACTGAGCTCAGGGAGACACCAAACCGTTTACCCTGCAACGTATTAAGTTCACTGAAAATCAAAAGCAAGTTTGAAGCAAACACTGCTTGTACATAACAGCCCTGAAATTCAGTATTTTATGCTTATTTGCACTTGATTGAGCTTTGCTAACAGATACTTACTTCAGCTAAAGCTCCAGCTCTGGCTAGATTAACTATTTATTAAGTAGACCTCTTCTCCCCAAGCAGTATCACTATTTAGAGTGGTAAGCAGCTGACAGTGATTGCTGACAACACCTGGGTCCAATCCTGCAAGGTGCTGACAGTGGGATTGGGATGTGCAGCACCTGCCTTATTGCCTGTCTTCTGCTGCAAAACTCAGTGTCCTCTCCATCAGCAGTTTGTGGTCGGGGGGAATTTACAATCCTCTCCTTTCCATTTGCTCCTCAAAGTTTATCCCCATAGCGTTTGTTGCTTTTGAACCAAATCACTGGGAACTGGCGCAAAATAACTCATCTCATCTTTCCTCTGTGCTATTTTGCCTCTTTTTTTTTTCCTCTGCTTTTAGAATCATAAAATAACTCATCTCATCTTTCCTCTGTGCTATTTTGCCTCTTTTTTTTCCTCTGCTTTTAGAATCAGGTTTTTGCAATTGGTGAAGATAAAAAAAAGCAGTTGAAAGGGTCAAATAGGAATTACAATGAGTGAGATCCATTGGGAACAAAGCTTTTGAGGAAAACACCCATGGAAACATGGCTTTTAGAACACATTGAACCCTGCCATAGAACTAAACCCCAAGTCTCTGTCAGGGAGGTGCCTACCCCCCTATGGAAATTCAGAGGCATTTCCTATAGGATAAAGGGCTGCAGAGTGAATTGCTTGAGACTGTCCTTAGGAAGAAAGGGTTAGGAGCTCCCCTCTACAAAATGCTTTGGGGTGCTGTTGGATTGCAAAGCAAATGCCTGATTTTCCCAACCCTTTGGTGACTCCCTTACTTGCAGAACAGGCTGTGGGTTGGTTTTCTAAGCACAGAGGGTCAATCCTGACTCCAGCGATGCCCAAAGGAGTTTTGTCAGTAGCTCCAGGGCAGAGTGGAGTCCAGAGACTCCCACGGGCAATCCAGTACGAGAAGCAACAAGAAGAGAAAAGCAGAGCTTACCATGGGCTTCTTGTACTCATTGGGCTTGATGCAGCGGACAAAAAAGGGCTGGCACACGCTGAGAGTCCTCATCAACAGCTCCAGGGATCGCTTGAACTGGCTGCTGAGCGTCGGCGAGCGCTTCCTCGTCTCCGCTCCCTGCAAAACGCAGCGGAGCGGACTCAGGAAATTAAAGGATAACACAGCCTTTCCCCTCCGGCTGCGTCCCCAGGAACCTCCCACGACAGCCGGGGCCGGAGCGAGGAGTCGGGCCAGAGGTGGTTGGAAGTTGTGGCAGGAGAGGGAAAGTGCAGAGCCGGCGAACTTGCCGTGGTTGGGCTCTGAAAACCTACTCCATATGCCTCTATGCAGGGAGGAAAAGTGCTATCATTTAGTTTCTCTTGCTCGAATCACCCTGTGTGCCTGGCAAACACATCTTCCCTATGCAGAGCCATGAGGAAGATATGCCCATGAACGCAAACAGCCTCTTTTGGGCTATCAAGATTCTCTGTACTGCAGTTTGGGGCAATGCACCTGCCCAGGGATGCTCCTCATGAACCGCTTGGGCATCCCTGTCCATATGCATTGCAGCACGGTCATGCCAAACTGTCGAGGTTGCTCATGTCAGGCTGAGCCTCTCCTGCTCCCTGGGGCGAGGAGCGGAGACCCAAGTAGGGTAAAATACAATCCAGGGGCATGCTTGCTGCAGGGTGACTCTGCAACAGTTCCACCAACAGTTAAGGTCTGTATTCCTGAGCCTGTACTACCACAGATTGGAGTAGTGTTTGGAAAAGAATATTAAGTAGACTAAATGAGGTGAGTATTTAGGATGAATCAGGATGATTTGGAGTAATTTGCTTGTTTTAGCTCCCTTGGTTAGACTATTAACCCAATCTCTATTTTGAGGCAAGGGTGTCTAAATGAGAATAGAGATGTTTCCTTTAATCGTCTCTTCTCCTGGCCCATAGAGAACCTTATTAAACTGCTTCCAATCTAAATGAAGTCCCTAGCTCATTTTATGCCTCAGCCACATTACACATCAGCTCATTACACATCAATCACAATGGTGCTGTGTGTCTCATAGAGTCTGGTGTCCAGAGAGCTTTTGTGGGGCACCAGGTAATGCTGGTGGGTTGGAGGAAGAGTTGGTGACCAGGATGCAACTCTCTCTGAATAAAAAACAGGGTGAACTGTGACATGACCTGATGGTCAGAGATTTCCCAAAGGGAGGATACCAGCAGGATTTTAATGCATTTTTTCCTCCAAACCTATTTGTAGGTGGTCAAGCCACACATGGAGTCACAAAGTCCCCCATCTGCACTAGCCTTACTGCCATACTTTGCAAGGTGGTGAGTTTTATTTATACTTTGGCTAAAACCTTTATGTGTGCTTCATTGTACAGCACTACTAACTTGTCAGATAATATTCCCACCTTCAAAAACTGAGGAATTTCCTAGAATCAAAGAACAGTGCTGGTTGGAACGGACCATCTAGTCCAACCTCCTGGACACAGCTCAGGTTGGATATGATGTTGAGACAAACCCAATCAACACAAACACAAAGTCATCATGGAATTCCAACAAGAGAAAACCCAGCTCATGCAAACACCAGAAAAATCTGGCTTGCTCGTCAAGAAGAGCGTGGGGGGCTACCAGTGATCTCTCCCAGTAAAATCCTTCTGTGAAGGACAAACTTAACAAATCTAGAGTAATTAATGGATGCAGCTGCTACCCTAAAAGCACCATAGAGTCTGATGCTCATATTCTGTCACAGATTTTCTAAGGGAAAGGCTGTTTCAATAAGAATCCTGATTTGGAAGGCTTTGAGGAATCATTTCTTGCCACTTTGCTAATTATACACATGGGATCACCTCTGTGAGATGTGGAAGGATAGCCACAGGGGTTAGAAACAGCAACAGATGCAGAATCAGGGCTGGGAGTTGGAAGCAACTACATGTTATCCATATTTTAGTCAATTTGGGCTTGGCTGGGAGAGATCATTTTTCAGCCATGGTGGTAGGAAGGGAGCAAGACTTTGTACAAGGGAATGCATGAGTGGTTTGCTCCCAGACAGCAAGACATGCCTCTCTAGGTTGCATTTCTTGCCCGAATGTCTTGCATTTCTTGCCTGAATGCATCCAGCCCTGGTAAAAAGCAGTGGTGCTGTCCTTACATCTGAGAGCTTTTTCCTGGGAGGGGCTGGAGGGAAGGGACAGTGGCCAGAGAGCAGCTTGTCTTCCTATCCAAATAGTCAGAGTGGTCTGGGCTCCTCCTGTCAAGACTGTATCATCCCATTCACATGCCTTCAGGGCCTGACATTTGTGCACAGACCCCTCTTAACGGTGAACACGAGCCCTACGGGCATTATCTGGGCCCTAAGATACACAATGAATACTTGGACAAGTGGTTTTTATCAGCTTCATCCTGCACGGATGGGTGACACCACTGAAGTGTTGGTGTTGAGGTTCCTTCTGCCTCACCTCAACACCAGCCAGAAAGAATCACACCTCTTCCCTTATTCCAACAAAATGTCCTCTAAAAGGAGTGAAGCAGCCTGTCAACACACCCTAGCAAGGCACTGAATATACAAGATTTACTTCAGAGGAGGAGCATTTTTTTAGTTAAAACCAGACCCAGTCTCCATAGCCTGAAGGAGAAAGGGCTGGTACATTCTGCTTTACTCCAGGCCAGACACGTCTTGGCTTTCAAACTCTGAGACTGTGACATCTTTGGGACTCAAACTATCTCTTCACTTGTATCCATACAGAGCCTAGCACAAGGGAGGATGAGACCTGTATGTCATGATGAAGGATAAGCAGCATTCACAGGTAGCCCAGACTGGGACACTGAGATATCAAAGAAAAAGAAAAAAGAAAAAGCAGAAGAGAAAAATCAGAAAAATGATTAGATGATTTACAAAAAAGCATCATCATAGAAGAGAGTTCAGAAAGATGTGCAGACTAGCATGACATTTGGACATGCTTCAATGCCACTTCTTTCTGCCATCTCAAGCCAGACTGAACTTTGGAGGTACAGACACATGCATGGCTGTTTGCAGTAACATAAAGACAAAAGTCAAGACAGAATATAATCAGCAAGACACAATAGAATGTTCCCCCAGTATGGGGGAACAGAGATCCCCAGTGGCACAGCTGGAGCATTAGGACATTTCCCAGCATCTCTGTGAAGCTGAAACTTCTCTAGGGACTTAGACTCCTGCCTTTGGTGTCCTGGACACATTTAGGTATACATCTGTCTAGGGCTGAGAAAGCAATTCAGCCTATCTGCAGCTTAAGGGATCAGTGAATTAAGGTAGACATGAAGTTATGCTAGGTAGGATGGTCTTAATACAGACCCAGAGCGTAAGCCAGGGTAATCACCACCCTTTTTTTTCTTTGAAACATTCAAACCAAGTAATCAGAAGCAAGGAGAATGGCATGTACAAGAAGAAATGTCATTGAGCCAGAAATGGTAGAAGTTACTCCTGCTGTGCCTCTGCACCTTCTCTCTGAAGGAGAAGGCTACATGGTGCACCAGAAACACCATGCTCAGCACCAGGTCTGCTGGGGAGATGGCAACCTGCTTCAGTAGAAATGCAGGAAGTCGAATTACTTGAGGTGAGTTAGGGAAGGAGAGTAAAGCATGTATCACCAGCAATAGTTCGGGGAAATGTTCTGGACAAAGGGCCATTCTCCCATCTCTCTAGGATTATAAGGATGCTAAATTGGGCCCTGGCAATGTGACATACTGTTTCTCAGCCTTTTTTTCTGAAGTCTGAGAAGAATGATGCTTTTTGTTTGTTACGTTTTTATATATAATGTCACTGGGGTGGGGTCCAGGTGACCACGGAAAGCTGAGGCCATCTCACAGCAGATTCTACAGTTACATATCGTGAAGAGACAGACTCTCTCCTAAAGGCTGTGAAGTCTAGAAAGTGCCTTCAGATGCAAAGTTGACATTGGCTATGTAACAATGCCAAGTATCACTATTTTGAACTCCACTCCCATTTTATAAAGCTTAGTGATGGGATTATTATGAAAAATCTTTTTTATCTTGGCTGCTCCACTCTTACCTCAGTGCCTAACAAATACAACAGTTATTACTCATTAGAAAACCTAGAAAACAGGAGGTTTTGTTATAAGAACAACTATGACAACAGAAAAACTCACAGAAATCATCAGTATTGTATCTCCCATGTCCCTGTATCTCCTGCTGATATCTTCAGAGGAAAAAACTGGCCTAAAATTTTCCGACAGATTTTGCACAATTGTCTCCTGGATTTAATCCCATCATAGGATCACAGAATCATGGAATGGTTTGGGTTAGAAGGGACTTTAAAGACCATCTAGTTCCAAACTCTCTGCCATGGGCAAGGACACCTTCCACTAGACCAGGTTGCTCAGAGCCCCATCCAACCTGGCCTTTAACATTTCCAGGGATGGGGCAGCCACAGCTCTTCTGAGCAACCTGTGCCAGTGTCTTACCAAGCTCACAGTGAAGAATTTCTTCCTAATACCTAATCTAAACATTTCCTCTTTCAATTTAAAGTTATTCCCCTTGTCCTATGATTCCATACCCTTGTCCCTCTCCAACTCTCTTGTATCCTAACTCAGGAAGGGCATTTTTTGGTGTGTGGCATTGCTAGAGCAAGTCCCAATGATATGTTCCAATTCAAGCAGTTTTAATCATGATACAGTGGAGAAGCAGTCCCCCTCTATAATGAATGGCTCTGGGTTGGTTTGGGTCAGATCCCCCTCATTGGAATTCCAAACATCTGAGATACTGCAGAGGTAAGAAGGGATGAAATTCAGCCCCATGCAAGGATCTGAATTTTGAAAGTCAGGTCTATCTCCAACTTAATCCTCTGGCTGTGGAAATGTGAGCAGAGTTGCAAAGCTAGTATCATAAAACCTTTAGCACACAATATGCTATCCTATGGCCAAATATCTAGCAAGCAAGGTTTGGGAAGCTATCAGAACCAGTGAGCAGATGAGATGCAACAGAAAAGAACTAAAAAAGGTGCCAAAAGCCTGTTTTTATGATTATGGCAAAATTCCATATTATCTGTGCCTTTGAAGGCTTGGATTTGAGATCTCCCCTGAACAAGAATTAACTCTCCCCCAAAATGATGGCATTTCCAAGCAACCCAGAAATGCAATCCAGGAGTTTCTCTGCACGTGAGCTGTTGGCTTCTTGTCCCAAAAAGTGCAAAACAGAGCCAGATTTGCACTGAAGCCAATGGTGGCACCATGCTAAACAATAGCCAAATCTCACAGATGACCCATCTGAAGTTAATTAAAATGATTCAAATATCAGACAAAATCCTCAAGACTTTGGCTCAGGCTGGTTCTGATTTTATCCAAACCAAATTCGCATCATTACAAAGCTCTTCTGAGTTGAATCCTATAAATAAATGATAGTCATACACCTGTATATATTCCACAAGCTGTAAAAATGCTCTCCATCACATTGGTCACTTGAAATGGATCCTTTATAGATAGTGCAGGAAGAGGAATAAACCAACAGGAGCAAAGCACAATCCTTGCCAAGGAGAGGCGAATATACAGCAGAGGAACTCATGTATTTAGTTTACCTTTGGTGTGGGAGTGGGCGACTGGCCAAATGTGCTGGATGCATAGCCACAGAGAAACTACATGAAGCACAGATAAAAAAAAAAACAAACAACACAACAAAACACAAAACAGAGACAGAGAAGAGCAAATAGTGAAAAGAAGGAATCACTGAAATGGGAGCCTGATATTGTTAGTGTTGGAGGTCCAGCTGTAATATATCTCATGAACAAAACGCGTTCATTCTTAGATTTTTGTCTAACCCTTTCCTGGCTTTTCCCCTCTGTCTCCATGTTCACACCTCTGAAGCTGAGGTAACTGCCACTGTCCAGCTCTTGCTTCTTTGAAACAACTCTTGTCCATCTTTTAACTTCACTTGTTATCCACCCAGTTTCAGTCATCCCCACTCTTCTCCATCATACATCCCTGCTCTCAATACACAGCAGTTGGGAAGATGCCAGGGACAAAACAAATTTTCACAAAAATTCTGAAGACATCCCTCCCTTCCTCCCTAATTTTAATCCAACAAATGAGATATTTTCAATAGAATGTAAGTTTTTGCCAACAGGAAAGCCTCCAGATCTCCTATTTGCTTTTCACTTTACTGGGTTCCATCCTCCACTGCTCCTTCTACCTGTTCCTTAAGCAAGCAGCGCTGCCAGATCATCCCAGCTGATTCCTCAGAGGAATGATGTACACCTGGCACCACTCAAAGCAATGTTCTGGTACAGCAAACACATGTAGGTAGACCTTCTCTGTGATGGCCATGCATAAATCAGGCTTCACAGCCCCATGTGCTCCAGAAATACCCAGTTTACCACACAGCTTTTGTTGTGCACAAATATTATGTCTTTCAGGGACCAAACAGTTACTACTATATTCAAATAGACAATCTAGACTGGTTTTCAAATGTTTCTGATCTGTGGCTTTCTCAAGTTTCCAGCATATAAGGACCCCATTTGAAAGACTGATTGTAAAGCATATATGGACTTGATTTGATTTAGCACTTAGCAAAGCAGCCACTTGTCTCTTTTTAAATGAAGATGTTAGATTGGATTGTCCTAGCCTGAGTGTCTCTGGAAAGTTTCTCCACCAATTGTCTCACTGATGCTCAGGGAAGGCATGCATACTTCCAAGAAGCTCCAAGGTCACTTTCCCCCAGCTCTTTGCTATATGCAGTCAATTTCTATGACCAAGGCTTACTTGCTCCTTCTTTTGAGGCATGTGTCCTATGAAAGGGACTGCAAAGATTATTGAATTTTGGTGGAAAGCAATGTCAAAAGCATCGAAGCCCCACGTTGGATCTTGCTTGTCTCAGAATTTTTGTGTGGTGGTTAGGGAATTTGTGCTCTCCAGGTTCACACTGACATTGTGCATGACTAGGGGAGCTGGTACACAATGTTTGCTCCTCTTCCAGTTTCATGACAGTCAGGTTAAAAATCTCTCATTCAAAATAGAAAAGCAGAGATCATTAAAGTATCAAAGCATAGAGACCATCACCTGGGACAGATTCTGAACATGTTTAATGGAACTAGAAAAAAAAGTTCATGTAAAATGAAAAGTGCTCTGATGCTTTAAAAGGTCTCAGTTTTCAGGTCCAGTTCTCAGGTGGACACCTAAATTTTGCTATTATATACTTCCAGTATCTTTTAAAGGTGCTTGGTAGATGTCCCTATAAAGAAGTCTGCATGACTGTGTAAGTCCTCTCACTGATTCCCCAGAGTGCATCTCTGCTCTGCCTAAAGAAGCAAGAAATCATTTCCAAGGCGAACTGCAAAGCTTGCACCAAAAATAAAAAGCAGCAAGGAATAAACAATAAAAAGCAAATTAAGCAGGCAGCACTGATGCTAAGGGAGTTAGTGTCTACTACAACAGGAGTATCCACATTAGAGGATAGCTCTGAACCCGCTGGGAGTGTCATGCCAATTGGTAGCTTAATTTGGGTTGATGTTATCTTATTCTTAATGAAGTCTGCAAAGCTTGCACCAAAAATAAAAAGCAGCAAGGAATAAACAATAAAAAGCAAATTAAGCAGGCAGCACTGATGCTAAGGGAGTTAGTGTCTACTACAACAGGAGTATCCACATTAGAGGATAGCTCTGAACCCGCTGGGAGTGTCATGCCAATTGGTAGCTTAATTTGGGTTGATGTTATCTTATTCTTAATGAAGTCAAAAGAATAATGACATTTCAGCA